AAGTGTGACTCAATGGTTAAGGGATTTATTTTACAAATACTTTTTTGTTCACTTTTAAAGAACTTTGTTTTCTCTAAAGCGTGGATTTCACTAGCGCATAAGCATAGCATAAGCACAAGCATGAGAATCATATGCGCCAGTGAGAACGGGCTCGAATAAGAAAAAGACATTGAGCATGCGCACGAGCGTATTATTTCAGTACCTATCATGTTTATGCATATGCAGTCCCGTTCTCACAGAGCATCAGCATGAGATAAGCATGAGATAAGCACAAGAAGATCAAGCCTTGCTCGTTTTTCTTGTGCTCATGCTTATGCTTATTTTGAGCCCGTTCTCACTGGCGCATATGACTCTCGTGCTTCGTGCTTATGCTATGCTTATGCGCTAGTGAAATCCACGCTTAAAGGCTGAAGGCCAGTGGAAGTAAGAGTTACTGTATTTTCTTCACCGTTTTCGCAAAAATTATAAAAAAAACGCCAAAAGCGAAACAAACTCTGGGATCATACGGAAAACCACGTTATATGGTAGAACAATAAAATGTCATATTCTTTTTGTCATGTTCGTTCCATGCACCCTTATTGAAAACTAGAGCGAGCAACACGGCAAAGGGTGTTATTACGGAAAAGCGCACCAACAGCGGCGATTTGATTTATACATCTATGCCCTTCTTGTAACACCGTGTCAACAGTGTCTTTTCAAAAGCAGCTCTAACGTTAAAAACGTTGCTTTTTAACTAATTGCGTTTCATTGTTTTATGACTCGATGAAGTTTCACCGCGGTTTGGGTTTCCTGTGCTATTGTTCCTGTGTTATTGTTATTGTCAACATGGCGACCAACATACGTCGGGAAAAAGGAGGTATTTGAATCAAGTTAATTTTGGCCACTTTAAAGACTGATATTTTAACGCAAAAAGCGACTCACAGGCAAGTATGGTCTGTGAATAACAGATTGTAAATAGCGGAAAATGGATTTATGGTATGGCACTGGAGCCGCTTTTGTTGCATATTGTGATAGTTAATTTACTAATGATACTAATAACTCTAGTATTCGCATGCGATGTTTTATCCTTTTACACATATTTTACTGCAATAAAGATTATTATATTTATATAAGTACCCTCCAAGATGTACATTCAGTGTCTACAGATCTTAGAAAGCTTTGAAAATTTCTCGTCCTTAAAGTGCTTATGAAGCGAAAATAAGCCACCTTTTAAAAATCGCTCATTTAAACGGAAACATTTATCCAATCTGTATGCAAATTTTCAAAGAAATCTAAGCACGCTAAAATATTTTTTMGGGCCTTTGAAATCTGGTAATTGACCCGAATTTATGCGACAAAAGACTGGGTCGAGTGACGTCAAGGGGTTGACAAACAGCTTTGATAAACGCGGCGCGATCGAAATATTTGCGGAAAAATCTCAATAAAAACACTTAGTTAACTGTCGCAACGTGTTATATGTCAAGTACGTCCGATACCGACGAGACGGGATCCATCGCATCCGATCTCAGAACAGAAGATGAAACAGATGAAACTGTCATTGACAGCATATTCCAACCCTATCAGTACGAACCATTAGCTGATGTTGACGAAAGTAATGGCGATGGATCAGGTGAAGAAGACGACGAAGATGGCATTCCCTTTGCTTCCTTGGAGGCAAGAAGCGAAAATAACATCCCAGTTGGCAGCTGGTAGGATAGGATAAGTCGTATACTCTGTTTATGTAATAATTTCTTGCAAAACAACTACTACAATAAAATCTAAACAAGTAGTGCCGAAGCAAGAGGCAAACACGCATGTTAACCCGAGTTTGCTTCGTAGTAGTTTGAACATAGAAACGGGCCTCACATCTTATTCGTTCTAGGTGTAAATGTGGGCATTGCAATGTTGAACACATCGCTTCAGTACGAGAATTTCGATGTTGCCACGAAGTAAGACCAGCAATAGGGCTTATGGTCTTCGATGGATCAATTGAACGCCATAGGTGCGTTACACAACACGATGATTTCGAAGCACTCGTAAACAAGACGGTCCTAAATTTAGCCGGCCCTTTATTTCGTGACAGGAATGGAAGAACCTATAGACGAAATGCTGGTCAATCGGAAAATGAGTAAGTAAAACCATCAAAAACACAGAGAAAGGTCAAATAATTGTCAGGAATTCAACTCTTAATTATGGTTGAAATCAAAATCAACAAAGGAAATAAAGATGGTATGATCATACACTGTATTTATTGCAATGATCATATCTGTTTTTATTTGTATTTTATATAAATATATAAGTTTTATATAGTAAAATCAATATTCTTATTTTAATGATAGATATCTAAGAGCAGTGGCCTACAGGTGGTTAGTACGATGGCTCTGTGGCTACCTTGGGTGGGGTAATAGCAGACCTTTATCAGCATGTGTGTACCAAAAGATCCGAACAAAATTTCCAAGTACCAACCAACAAGGATACTCCCGATCTCAAGAAAGGAATGTGTAATAGTACATTTAAATGCAACGTGAAATAAGAAAATAGGGACTGATGGAGTTCATGGCAAGTTTTTAGCAACACATTTATTTATCCATAAGCATGTTCAGGGCATATTCTTCCTGTCAGGACATATTCTTGGATGTCCTTTCTTTGGCTTTTTACAATGCTGGCATATCCGTGGTCTTTTTGAAGCTTTAGACGAGGAGACCGAACTTGAATCTTGCATTTGAAGGGACTGTTGTTCTTTTGCTGCAAATTGATTGTGTTATCTTAGATCATACACCAATTAAAATTACAAGAGTTGCRAACTAGCAAAAACTGCACTGAATTATAAGTTTTTCCAACTCCCACTTGTCTGATAATACAAATTATATTAGTGYAGATTAGATGGTGGTTAGCATGGTTTGTACAGTCTTGAAAAGTTTTTGAATATCAGTATTTGTCTTGAAAAGCCCTTGAATGTGAATTTCCTTGAAAAGTCCATGAAAATTAGGCAAAAAGTCCAATAGTATGATACACTTATGTCTTTGTTTTTTGTGACTTTTTTGCTTGCATAGTTTTTGTCCGCCTGTTTTTTTGTGTCATTTATGTAGTGCTGAGGGAAGAATGCAACACAAAACTTGACAAACTGGAAAAATTATTGTTCTTGCAGTTGTGCAAAAATTGGACAAATATAGAACAGGACTTCTCTTTGTTTCTATGTTTATTGTTATTATATTTGAAAATTGCAATTTTGTTTGTCTTGAAAAATCCTTATAATGTCCTTGTTCTTTTGTTTAGTATGGTTTGAATTTCAGTTAACTTTCAAATTTGGATACAAGATGAAATGACTTACAAGTAGGAAATAACTCTACCCTCAACACTTTACGTTGASTATGTGCAAGGATTGCATCTTCTCTTCCAACTCGTTCAGTGAATGAGCTTGTCAGACTGTCTGGCACTTGTTTGCTGTATTTCTCAAATATAGCTTTGCGACATTCCGATGACAATGAGAACAGAAGTTCTGTAAGCTCATCAACATACACTGTGAATAAATCAATATTGCATGAGGCAAAGTAATTCAATAATTTYTGTTTGTGGTCGCCATGTGCAGCCACAGGCTAACTCCAATCTACCAGAATATGCTATCATACAATGACAACAGACGGATACAGACTGCTCTTATACATACCCACAATACTCATTGGTCTCACTTTTGTGTTTTTTATCTTTATGAAGTGACAAACTGAATTGAATGAAGTATACAGCAATTTCAGAAAAACATTGAATACTGCATAGTGCATWCCAAGACCACAATGCATTGTTGTTATTAAACTCAACGTTAGTTGGGTAARAAAATGACCATTCTAAACTTTATTGCTCTCCACTAAAGTTCTTGAATGGTCATTTTGAATGACCAACAATGTATGGCGGTTTTTGTGGTCTTGGAATACTGTATCTTCAGTATACAATGTTTTCTGAAATAGCTGTAATTAATACTGTATTCCATTTCTGTCTTACCATARGTAGGTGGAATTCCAATCTCACGTACTATTTCTTCTCCCTTTTTGAACTTTGGGTAAACCACCCTTACATAGGTTCTGCCATCTTTTGTTGTTTGTTTTGTCCTTTG